CCCACTTTTCTGAATTATGGCTCACTTCTACCACTTTCACTCTGAATCCAGCATTTTTTGGATAAAGGGAACCATTTTCAAAACAGAATTAGCACTCCTCAATCCAAAAATCACCGTTTTCCAAACAAAATCCCACTTTTCTTATCAGACTGGCCGCACTTTCTAAACCGTGCAATTGATCAATCAATTCGCGATAAACGCCAACTCAAGCCCCGCCCCGACGCCCACGCCCCTTTTCAGAGCGGTGAGAAATTTTCGGATTTTATTTCCTAACTCCTGCTTTTGACTTTTTTTGACTGCTGGCGTTTCGCACATGTACGACAGAAAAGGACTGCACCGGCACATAAGCCCAGTTCTTAAATGAATTGTTTCAAACTCAAACTTTCGTAATCTTTTTAACCTTCTCAGCTTCAAACTCTTCCTTCACTTGACTGAGTTGCTCTTAGATTCACTCACTCATTTGTGCCCGAAATATAAAGCTCCATCTCATGTACCGCGCCCAATTCTGCGTCTTTCTGCGAATTTTTAACCCTTTTCCAAAATCATGGACTGCTCAGGGTTGTCCTGCCCACCATGGAAAGCTCCATCCCTTCGTGGAGGCCTCGCTCACTTCTGGAAAACGATGCAAATCGGCAGAACTAGGTCTCAACTAGCTTTTAGATCTCGCCCGTCACTCGGATCAAGCTTTGCCGTTTATTTCTCCTAGGAAATAGCAAGACCCCAGTATGGTAGACTATGGCCTGCCGACTTGCATCATTTTCCTGCAAGAGGCGTAGCTTCCATAAAAGGGCGGAGCTGGGCACCTCGCGCAATCCAGGAATGTGAAATTCTTGAAAAACGGTTGAAATTTCGCTGGAAGACCGAAAAGGGGGTCTCAAGGAGCGGGACTTACAAGGGAAGGATGGTAGGTCGAAGTGGCCATTTGAAATGAAATGTATACCGGCTGAAAGGTCTTCGGACGGGAATTACGAAACCGTCTTCCATATCTGCTGCGGACGGGGATTACGAAACCGTCTTCCATATCTGCTGCGGACCTCCCAGAAAGAAGTTACGGAGCTTTTTAGGGGGAGAATATTCGCATTCACTACGAATTGGCGGCGTAAGGCTGATGGATCGTGGCAGCATGGCCGAGTGGATACGTCGTAGGGCTCACGAATGCGTGGTCGAGGGTTTGGATCCTTGATGCGTGTGCTCTTTTGCATTTTTTCGAAAGTGGTCCCTGTGCACTTCAAAACGATTTTGCATAACTCTTGTGCCTAGAACGACTTCATAGAGATCACTTCTGGTTGAAGAGAGTGTCATACGAGCCGAAAACTTCCAACGAAACCACTTTGGGTTAGGTTTTGGTTTAGATTTTAGAGGTTTTGCCCGTCGCAATCTCCAGCAACGCCACTTCATATGAAAGCATTTTCCCCACTATACTCATCTTCGCGCACAACTTCGTGCGCTTCGGATTCGGTTTCCAGTCATGTCATTTGGAGAATAAAGTCATTTTCAGGGCAAAATCATTCGTTGGAATGCACTTTTGTTGTGTATGCTTTTGAATCAAGGAAAGAAGGGAGCAGCCAGGAAGTGTTTTAGATGGAATCGCTCGCTATGGCTCCATTACTTCAGAAGCACTACGTCACGACATTATCGAACACAAGAGTGGCAAACACGCTTTGGAGGCACAGGAACCAACTTTCGAAAAATGCAAAAGAGCACACGCATCAAGGACCAAACCCTCGACCACGCATTCGTGAGCCCTACGACGTATCCACTCGGCCATGCTGCCACGATCTCATCAGCCTTACGCCGCCAATTCGTACTGAATGCGAATATTCTCCCCCTAAAAAGCTCCGTAACTTCTTTCTGGGAGGTCCGCAGCAGATATGGAAGACGGTTTCGTAATCCCGTCCGAAGACCTTTCAGCCGGTATACATTTCATTTCAAATGGCCACTTCGACCTACCATCCTTCCCTTGTTAGTGTTCCGGTGTATAAGTAAAAAAAGTTATATTATTCCAGGTTTACAACACACTTTGGAAACTTCTTGAGAGGGCGGAGTCGGCTGTGAGTTGATGTAATGCCATTTTCTGTCATTGCGCTTGCACGAAGCAGCAAACGTCAAGAAGGGGCTTGTTTCTTGAAGCCATTAATCTGTGCACAGCTCCTTAGAAGCCGGAGGTGGACAACAGCACAAAGTGCATGACACTCTACAAACTAAGGCCGTTTAGAACGCCTCCAGCTGTACTATTCGAGACCATGGACCAATGGAGGATCTGCAAATTTCCCGGCAGCGAACCTATTTCTTGCAGAGTCATAATATTATGGAAAAAAATCCATGACTGTTGTTCAGTTGGAAGTAATTTCACCTTCTTTGCGCCGTATAGATAGTGAATGACCGGTGTCAGCACGCCAGCAGGATAAGCCGTATGTTAATAGGACGACTGAGGGATCCACTTCATCCAGAACGGCAGAACTTTCCCTTTGCTCGAAATATCACTCGGATTTTTCTCGTTACTAGATGAGAAGTGGAAGCTAAATACTGGACACATCTGGCAGACCTTGGTCGGTGTCAAACAAACATCTTCACTCTTGTCGTGTTCAACCGCCCAAATTACGAATATGAAACAAAATGACACCATTGCGTGGCACATCATAGGTATCACTGCCTGATATACTGACAAAAATTCCGGAGAAATGCCCGCCCCTTTTTCACAAAATGAGGGACAGGCAGCCTTTGGTACACTAACGAAATAAAGATGATCACATAGCACGATAAACCATCCACCCCTGCCTACTTTAGCTCTAGAAGTTGATGGTATTCATCGTAGTCGTGATTTCAAGCAGGCTTACATCATTCACGTCAGCTACAATATAAGCCATAGGCATGCAGCACGCGCATCACGAAAGTGCTACATGGTTTCTATGGCCGAGTTTTCAAATGCCTGCACTCCGCCAGAGGAACAATCGTTAGGGCGTGTACACTGCACATGGTTGATTGAAGATTATCGCTCTGCTCCGATAGTGGGAGACGACATCTACCCAGCTTCCTAAGTACGATTCATGAATTGTTCCTCATGGCTCGGCCCCTTCGATCGTTACATACATTTCGGCTCCGTTGTGCCTCCTTGCTGAGAAACTAGAGTGAGTTTATGCCAGTTACGATGATAATGTTATCGAAAGCACAATCAAAATGCAAAGGGGCAGAGCAAGCCTCCGATTATCAGCAGTATCTTCAGTTTTTCCAGTAATTCTGCAGTCTACCCTGGTTCGTATAAGACCAGTTTCCATTTTCGACCATTACAATTGCCCAATTTTCCACGTTTCTCCTTTACTATCGTAGGTTTGAAAATTGGTGAGAATGCTTACTTTTGCTTCAGAAAAAATGGAGTTCCACTGCATACGGCGCGTCCCAGGCTCATGATGTACACGAAATCACCCATGGCTTCAGCCTCATCCATGTAATGCGTTGACAGCAGAATGCACCTGTTATAATTTGCTAAAGTAAATGCCGAATCTTAAAGTGAACACATCCACAAAATTTGCAGCTGTATCACAAGCCGAAATCTCTCCGTCTCCTCACCTTCCCGATTCGGTACGTTAGTTGTATTTCACCAACCCTTTTCACAAAGCTCCGGTCTGGTACATATATAGTTTCCGCTACCCTACGATGGTGTCAGTTTGTTATAAACAAAGAATTACTACGATGTCTCCATTCAATAATGAGGAGACCACCTTTCCAATTCTACAACTCCTGTGTTGTATGAACAGCAAAAGATTTTTTGCTACTGGAGGACACTCATCTCGATTGTTCATTCTAGGTTTACATTCTAAGGTTTCTTAAATATCCAAAATGTTCGAATGCATTCACTGTTGGAACATTAGACACATGCGCCACGACATTTCGCTACGAACTCTACGCCTTTACGGTCCTCATCTTCAAAGCCGGACATTGCAATTGCCAGTTGCCTGCTGCTTTACAGAAGGAAGAAGAGAAACAAGAGGTCGGAAACACAGACAGGCTTCTTCGATTGAACGAGCCAACTCAGATTCGCTACCGGCAGATAATATTAATCAATGCCCGCAGTCATTGGTCATCCTGCTCTAATCTCCTCAGCTCTAATGCGTGCATAAATAAAGGGTAATCATGAAAGTCAAGCTTGTAAAATAAATAACCCAAATAGCTCTGAAGAAATTGCGGTAGAAAACTGTGAGTATCGTAAGCCAAACGACACACTGAGCTAGCGAAAATTGGCAATCATCGGTGGACCAAGGCCACGCTCAACGCTAGACGCTGCTGTTCCTACCGCAGGATCATTCAATTTGATTTAATGGAATCATCAAAGAAAAAAATAACGTGAGAAAGCGAGCACCTCCGACATCTTTACTTTGCATTTAGTCGTAGTGTCTTTGGAGCTGCTCAGGAAATTCGCAAAATTGCCCGAGAAACAGAACCTCCTGATCTGACTCCAGCTCTTAACAACGATTTAAGGGGTAGAAGACAACGCACGTTGATGGCTACTGACCGCTCAATGCATTTTGCTTTTGTGCGTCCAATAGCGTTTGGAGGTTGCGGGGCCTAGTGGTCTCCCTTTTGGCACTTCCTTTGAATCGGGAATCTGCTAGTACTTCAAACAGAACTCTAAGAATGGCGATGGGGGCGATTGGAAGTCATCGCGCGAAATATCTCGCTCATATGTATAACAGGTATCTGTGTGTGAGTGCTGAATCAATCATCTGGCGAGTGAACGTAATCCTTGTAACCGCTTGACAATGAGAATGACGACTTGGGCATGAAAATACTGATACAACTGACTATAACTGCTTTGTAACAGGAAAGCGCCGTGTGGAATAGTGACGCCTTTTCGCTTGCGTTTGCTTTGAGCATCGATGGCTCACAGTGCGTCTCGTGAACCACTTCTTTCATTCTGTCAACTTTCACGAACGAAATTGAGCCAAGCCTCGCGCAGCGCTACGCTTACCATCGCAAGCCCTACTCCTCACGAACACGCCCATGTTCCAGCCGGCGCGATCGTGATCTCTCGGAAATGTTTTGTAATTTCTGCTTCTATGATTCCTTTCGCATTTCTCGCTCCTTACACATATTGTGTGAATGGTAGACGTCCATTCCGACTCCCAGGAGTGTACGTAACAAATCAATGCATTTCCCAACGTTCCGTATTGGCGTTACTATGACTCACCAATGATGCATTACATTGATGTAATGGCTGATCTCAACCTTTCCTCAATTTTTTTATGTTGTATTCTAGAGCTAGAGGGTGCTAGGAATCAAAGATGTAACGATTTGCTGGAGTAAAACTAGCCAGTCCGTGACGGTGACCCTACAGAGAAGCTTTGTTTTATGCACTCTAGCAGTTTCTTTGGCGTTCTTCACTATTAACGCATAAGTACCTACTCTTTTGCTCATGAATCCCCCTCCTCCGCCACCTGCCAATTACTAAAGCCGATTATGTCCTTAAGATACCTCAATGCTTACCGGTCTTGCTTTTGTTTTATGACGAAGTCTGTAACGATTCTCCTAGAATGCGGATCCATTCCCGCTGTTGGCTCATCTAAAATCAGGAGTCTGGATCCTCCAACGAATGCCATTACTAAGCATAATTTCCTTTTCTCGCCGCCAGAGAGTTTTGATGATAGCTGAAGAGGAGAAAGTGCACAATACTTGAATGTTCAATGCATTCAATTTTGGCTCGTCTCACTTGCCTTTCTTCTCAAGTGTTGCATGCCGACAGAAGAGCAGAGCACATCTGCATCTGCCTCCCAATCACCACCAGCTCCTTTCAGCTTAGAGAAAAACCAAAAATGGTCGTTAACGGTCAAGTGCTCGAAAATGCAGTTAAACTGTGGACAGAAACCCATGCTTGAACGACAAGAAGACAAGTTTCTTCGGAGGTCTTGACCAAATATTGTTATAGAACCTGCTGATGATTCACACTCTTCTACAATCTGTTCTATTGAGTAGGCTTACTGCTCGGAAGTATACCGATAAGCACTGGTTGTATATGAACTATTATGGAGCACATGCCTGTTGTCATACTTGTTGAACCACAAATCATACTATATGTCGTGCTTTTGCCGGCGCCATTATGACCGAGAAGTACCTGTGACCTTGAATGTAATGAATAGCAGCAAGACTGCACTTATTCAATATCGAATTCTATCTGAATGAAATAATTGCTCCGTCAACATATGAAGTTCGATTGCCTTCCTTTTTCGGGAAGCTACTTTAGGATCTTCTATCCCATATGTATAGTTGTGATATGTACATGCAACCATAATAAAAACGCGTTCTAACAATGGCTCAAAATTAGTTCGCTTCACGCAGGAACAGAAAATTTCAGCATCTCGATTTGTCGAGTGCTATGAGGACGCATCTGTCAAGAGCCTGACTCCAACAATTCGTCCTAATTGCAAAACATAAGACTTTTGGAAGGTGATTACAAGTCTGCACTCTGTACCGGCTGAACGATTCTCTGAGCACGGTTGTACAGGTCTTTGACCTGGTCACCCCCGATTTTCATCATGTGCGTGAGACAAACGACTGCCCCTCTCCCCCAATTCGCACAAATTCCAAACGACTCATTTGAGGATTGTGACACTATAGAGGACGAAGGTGTGCAGGAGCCCGTAGCGCACGACGCAAGCGTTTTTGCGCTGAATGAGTGTGATATTCGTGTTCTGGGGATCAAATTAGCCATAGGGGCAAGTTTTTAGCAAAGTCTGAGATTTTGACCAAAATTCGAGACAGTGGGTAACCATGGGCAATACATCCCTTGAAGCCGCTTGCACTATCCTCGACTAGAATTCCAGTGGGTATTTTGGCAGCCCTGCCATTTGGCGATAGTCTGGCGACACAGCATAACGTAACGAATGATGGCGCCGGAACGGAACGAATGAGGGCATTCAGAGGTGTCCCTCAAAACTCTTCCAGAATGGCCCCATTCCTTCAGAAGTAACATTTTTCGGCAAGATTAGGTCTCCTGGCTACGTAAGAATGGTTTTAAAAACTGCAGAGGACATTTTCAGAAAAATATAAAGCATATATCCAAGGATTCGAGCCATGTATACTTGTTGAGCATTAGCCGGGTTGAGCAGTGCTCTGCCTTACGAACCTCCATAACTTTGTTCGGAGAATCGTTTCAGCAGATTTGGAAAGCAGATTCGAAATCACTGTATAAAGACGCGTCGGTGAGCACACATCTCATTTCAAGTGGCCGCTACGTCTTACCATCTTTTCCTGGTACGATAGTTTATTCCCTGCCGCTATCAGAAAAGTAATGGCCAACGAAAAGACTTCACACACTGAACCTCTAATTCTTAGCAATATAGTGGTGAGAAGAGGTAATAAGCATAGAAAATAGCTTTCATCGTTTTGTCAAATGATATGATTACATGCCTGTCGCCTTTACAACCCTCACTAAAGCCCTATAATTTGGTAGAGTGAAAGCTCTACATCGAAAGCTCTACATGAATAACGACTGCGAGGCAACTTCTCTTATCAACCTCTATCAGTTGTTGTCACTTCTCACCCACCGTCCCAGATGACTCCATCTCACGCTGTATTTTACCTACCGCTCAATCGTGGCTAAACTATGAATGCGGGACCTTACTGCTCGAGCGCCCCTTATCGAGTCTTATCGGCTGCTACCGCTCCTTGCCACCCCCCACCAATGATGCTCACGCACATTCTATACATCATTTGTTTGAACCAACTTCCACTGCTGGCAACTCGCCCTATGAACATAATGACCCTCACTTTCTGACCTCACTTGCTTCTGCTATCGCTTTCTGCCATCTGCCAATGATGCTCCACACCCCACATTCCACATCACATCTTCGAACCAACTCCCACTGCCACTGCCACGGATGCTACGGATTCCGTCACAGACAAATACACACACTGACAGACATACATACTTGGCGTATGCGAAGAAAGCGTAATGACAAGTGGCGCCACTAGATGCGCGTTGTTGGGCTTATATCCCGAATCAGCTCCCGCCCAAGCCAACCAACCATTTGAAGAAATCCGTCGGAGCAAATTAACTGGTGCAGACGCGTAAACACTGACAAGTACATGAACTGCCTGCGCAAGTATTTGCAAAGTCATGCGACCGCCGATAAACATAGAAAGTGTGCAGGATAGGAAAGAAGACCTGAGGACTGTCATGGTGGGAGGCCTCATGTTCCACCACATGGGTCTGCTATTCTCTCGCACGTTTGTAAGGAGAACACAATGAGCAGGAGAGCGTTGCGGGGCCAACCAAGGATGGAGTAGTTATGGGATTGTTCAGAATTCAAGCAAAGAAGCTGGAAGTGCCCATTATAATTACCCAGTGAGATCGCCCGGCTGGCGTCAGGCTCTCCTCCTTCTTCTTTAGCCCGGCTTCGCCGAGCTGGCCTGGCTTCGCCAGGCGCACATCATGACGGGATGGAGATTAGTCAATACACTGAGCTGCTCATTTTGCGCGGTATTGATCGAATCATAATAGACAGGGAAACCCAACAGATGCTGCACTACTAAGTCCTCCCGTATATTTGCAGGAGGGTGGAGTACATCATTAAAAGCGTGTAACGCATGTAATTATAAGGCTCTATTACTTCGGCTGTACAACAACGACAACATTCCGCAACAGCCCCTATCAGTTGTTATCACTTTCTGTCACCACTCATTGATGCTCCCGTAATACATACCATATCGCCTGATGAAACTGTCTCTCCACTATTGCCTGTGGTGGGGTGGGGGGGGGGTGGTGGTTTGGGCCATAACGCTTATACATAGATCAGTGGACGTACAGTCCGCCATTAAAGTGAACATCAATATGAATCCCAGAGTAGATGAACGAATTCCGTTTTTATTACCTGCGTCGCAACGCCTACCGATGAGTGCTTAACTTTCCATTAACAAGCAGTCCAGTTGCTGACGTCGTACGAATGGTTGCAGTGGCAAAATTTGTGCTATGGTAGTTATATTTCCAGATGACCTTACCATTCGTGCTTGTCAGTGATTACAAGTTGAAAATTGAGAAAAAGTCACTTGAATAGCCGAATTCATATCGCGGATCGCAGCAATTGCAGGCAGTCAATTTTAGGAGGTGGCATAGGGGGTGAGAGGGGAACACCAGGGAGAACAGCACAAGGGAAAAATTGGGCAACCATAGCGCAAGTCGCAGCAATTGTGGGAAGACACTTTCATCAGGCGATATGGTATGTAGTACGGGAGCATCAATGAGTGGTGAAAGAAAGTGATAACAATTGATAGGGGCTGTT